TGTGTAGTGCATATGCAGAGAATTTAAGAAAGTTCATACAAAGATGTCAAGGTAAAGTCAAAACGAGTTATCAAAGTCTTCAGAAAAGGAACTACTTGAAACGATACAATGAAGTTTGAAAAAAAAAACCAATGACGTACAAGAAGAACACTTACCAATTTAAGTATGATTTTTAGGTGAACATCAAAGAACAATATGAGCATCCCCTTAAAGTAGACAGAATCCTATATCAAAATGGCGGCATTTTTACCGCGCAAAGCACTTCACTCATGCGTGCTAGCCACTAACGTGATTTTTGCAAGCGCAGACACGTACGTCAAACATCGAGCGCAGAACCCAATGAGCCGTAGAAATACGCGAAGGTTTACCGCAAATGACATTTTCTATCACTTTTTGATCAGTGTTTGCGTTGACATTTGAGGAGATGTGACTGCATCGTTAGACGAAGTAAATGGCATGAAACAACTATGATTAGCAATGCAGCACGATGTAGAACCCGGGCCTCGGCAATAGCCTGTTAGTGTGGAGATATTGATGCTCGTTTGCGAAGCTTGCTATGATTTTGTCTTGAAGTGTTCTCTATAAAGGTCGGCAATCATCGTGTGAATGGCTTATCTTTGGTAACTTCAAGCTGTCATTTTTCCTTTTTGACAGTGTATTGAACGCATAACGGCATGACATGGTATTTCATTCGCTCATGGTTGGTATAAATAATCTTTTCATGACAGTCATAGGTAATAAAAAGGATCGCTTATCACCCCAAAGGCAACAAAATTCTCTCATCAAAAAACAACGAATACATTGCAACTGCAGAGTGTTCACGCAGGGCAGTGGCATTCTTCAAAAATCTATACAGGCACCTCGTAATCTCAGTTCAATATATTTTTTTTTTTTTTTTTTAGTCTGGCGCCATTTGAAGTTCATTTACGACATGTCGACAGGTAAAAGGTCCTACAAGATATGGCAAAATGTGTTGTTTTCGACTTCAAGCTCACACGACGCATTTGGTTAAAACCTCAGGCAAAAGTCATACTGTGCAAATATATCGATGTTCGCTTACATCGCTAACAGCGAAGCATGGACAGGTTTGAACAGCTTCATAAAGGTAGGGGCATTCTTGCTGTTCCATGAAATTGACGTGGGATCGAATAACGTGTAATGAAAGCTGCTGATCATGTTTTTTTGCGTCAACTGTTTTGATAAAGAAGAGCAATGTTGCCAAGAAAGACGTCACAAGAATGGATTGCGGGCAATGAACGAGATAGCAAAGGAATTCTAAAGAACCAGCGCGTTGGATAATGATCAAAGGCAGTTTCACAACAACAAAAAAGAAAACAAACTTTCCAAGACGCATGGTTGAATCAAGTTCATATCAATTCAACACCACTCCACCTGACATGCATTGCCCGAGCTATAAACAGTCAATATACAGCTGCAGCAATGATCGACAATCGATGACAATCGCAATACTCAATGGGGAGAAACAAATCATGCACAAAATACTGCTTAGTGCATATTGTTTTGCACTGGAAATAATCAAAACGATTTGGTTGTGCTTGTGTATACATGGGCGTCGCCAGGATTTTTTTCTAGAGGGGGCAAAACACATTTTTCCCCAAACAATTCTTGTATTTCTCAACATATTCTCGATTTATCAGTTTTAGAGGGGGGCAGGGACTTTCCCCCCCCCCCCTCCAACCCATTAAATTTACACCACTATGATTTCGCGTCTCTTTTTCTTTTCTTTCTCCATTGACTGTACTACAATACCAGTCAACAAGCCTATGAGAAGATATAGTGATGAGCACACACGGAAAATGCACCACACGAAAACTTATGATGTATAAGGGTTACACTATCCGGGGTCTATCACAAGGGGGTCTCAAAGCCACGGCAGACCCTCTATCTCATTACGTCCTGTCTTCACGCCTGCGTAATCTTCCCCCATTATGGCCAACGGTGTCGCTTTCGCTCCCCCTAGCCCACCTCATCACCGACTCGGATTCCCCGCAGGGGTTTCGTATCCTCGCCAGCAAATCCAGACCACAAGACAACAATAATGCGCCAGGGAAGAAAGAACGAACAGAGGCAGGGAGAAAGGAGAAGGAAACTGGGATTTGCTTTTGCTCCCTACTCCACTTCCACTCGGGGAATAATTAACCCATTTTTAACCTTTCTCGCGACAAACCCTCTCCCTTTACATAAACAACAATGTGAATAAGAAACGAGGGCAGGATGACAATAATCAAAGTTAATCTAATAGATCCACAACCACTCCAGAGGAGTCATTGGAATTGCTCCAGCATGACAGCCTTCATCAAGTACGAGTCTCTTTCATGGTGATGAAAGTAGATGGGAAAAAATGCCTCGTTTTATTCATGAGTTGGGGATAGACCTGCCAACCTGACATCACCGTTTGCATGTTTAATTAATGGTTTATCTATAGGCTGCAATATTAGATAGCGCAGCCCGCGAGGTGCGCAAAGTGCCTCCTTAATCATATTTGAAGGCAGAGATCTTTGGTGTTTTTAATTTGAAAGATTGAGTCAGGATTAATATTTCCATCAACACTCACCCAAAAGATTACTACATGTATTAATTTGATTCACGCGTCAGGGTATGCCGTTATGAAAAGCAACGCCATTTAATCTATCGACGCCATAACGCACAAAGTCCATTGGTAAGAAAGAGTTGCTTACATCATATTTGAAGGCAGATATCTTCGGTGTTCTCAAGTTGAAAGATTGAGTCAGGATTAATATTTCCATCAACACTCACCCGAAAGTGTACTACATGTATTTGATTCGTGCGTCAGGACATGCCGTTGTAAAAAGCAATGCCATTTAATTTATCGACGCCAATAACGCACAAAGTCCATTGGTAACAAAACGAGTTGCTCACATTCACAAATTGGAATAATTAATTGGCCCATAAGACGAAATGCAGAAGGTAAAGAATTCAAGCAATTAATTGGTTCCTTCCCCTTTGCCATTTGTCACAAGGAACCAATTTGAAACTGAAGACCGACAGTTGTAAAGAACACCATACCAAATACCAAATAAATGGGTCTGTTAAGGTAACGATTCGAAAGTATACAAATACGTGGTACGATCGATGCTGTGTTAAGTTCTATATATTGTAACTGGGTTAAAATGCCAAAAAATGAAAACTCAAACACCGTTGGTTAACGTTTGTTTTATCCTTGATCGGCATTGTTCTATGGGTCACGAGATAAAACGTTAGTCGTTGATTGGCCAGTGAGACAGATACCGTCACAAACCGTTTTCTATTTTCTTTGTAACATGAAACGGTTTCGTGGAATGTTTGCCTTCACACACATTCGTATCTCTGTGTTGATCGAAACAATTTTCACAGCAAGACAGATGGGGTAGAAAGCACGTCATGCCTGGTAGACAATGATGCACGACACAGAGAGCTGCAGCGTCCCTAGAGGACCCGCTGTGCCCACGCGACCGTTACGCTTCGTCGCCCCTCCGACCGTGGGCGCTATATCCTCTTGCCTTTACGGTAACCGGATTTCAGGCTGAAACGAAAATACGACGAGGTACAACAGCGGAGAGAGAGAGGGGGGAATGATGAGACCGAGAATTTTTGGTTTTCCTGGGGGAAATGCAGAGGTTTCACAGGTTCGGGAATCTGATACAGAGAAGTTGGCGCGTGAGCGGTTGGCGCTTCCACGTGCAGTGAATGGTTTACGCGATCAGCTTGGGGCACGGTAAAGGTAGAGCAATGCGCATGAAAGGAGAGGGATTCTACCCGAATTGGTAAAAAGCCTTTACTAGTACCAGGATAATGACCCCAGGAGAGGTCAAGATTCCAATCTCATTTGGTTTACGGGGATGAGAGGAGCAAAAACGGAAGTGTCCAGACAATTGCTAATAGGGAACCATGGAAGATTAGCATGGACCTTGTTAAGGAAGGAATATTTTGGGACGGTAACATGGAGATCCCAAGAAAGTGGGACTCCGTTAAGTATTTGAGTGGTAAAGCTCAGAAGCAGATACAAAACAGTCAAGGATGGGACATTCAAATTTCAGTAACTGAGTGAAATCAACCGGTAAAAGAGGGAGCTTATTCAAATGATGCACATTCGTGAGCCTTTATGAGTCGAAGACAAGATAGACAGGAGAGATGCACGACTGGCCTCAACACAGAGAAAAGAGTGATCGTCTCTTTCTAAAGAAAGATAAAATAGGCACTGGTGAAAGATTCGAGTTTACAATAAATTGCGCTGCAACAGACCGTTACGGAGAAATTATCCGGGACTCTCGATTTACCCGTCTGGGCTATTAAATAACTAATGTTAACTGCATATTGCATGGTCTAGCTGACTCCGATATCCTCGCAATTAAGCAGATGATTGAAGCCTGAGACGTTACTAATGAGCAGAAACACACTGAGTTGAAATCAGGGAGCAGTGTAACGGAACATTGCGTCTACCGAGCTCCCAGGCGGTACAAGAAAACCCGGGCCATGACATTTTCTGGCTTGGGCTTGAATGGTACAAACAATAACACTGTGCCACATTAATTATTGCATAAAGCAAGAAAAGCCTATACAGTTATAATTATAGGTGCATGCCATTGTGAAGTAGTATAATACGCATGCAGTACGTAGACGTACGTTTGTAACTAATTTGCGGACCGATTCAATTTACTCGTCCCTCTATCGTCAATTTTTTTTAATTGTGGATTTCTTCATCGTTGCTACTGCCCAATAAAATTAACAGGCAGATTTACTAAATGGCACATAGACATGACGAGGCTTTAACTGCACAACCGTTGCAAAAAGCATAACGAACAACAGAGACGTGTCAGGACATTAGACGACTTAACGGAAAATGAGAAACGCCGACAAAAAACTTCACCCAAAGATGGATCATGGCGCATACGGCGACCATGAACATTATGGACAAGGACACAGTCATGACACACAAGGACACAACGCGACACTGACAACCAAATCGCGCACAATCTTACCTGGATCAATCCCCGGAAAGGTGACATTCTCGTGCATCAAACTGCACTCTTCTTGCCCTAGTCTCAATAATGTCTCTAGATCATCCATGTCTACAAATGCCTCTGCTCCGGGAACTCCTTCGTGGATGGACATGATGAGGAGAAACAAGTACACGGGAAGACGCGCCTGTAACAACACAAACAAGGAACAAAAACAACTGTTATCTATACCCTTTCCCGTCCAAATGGTACAATTAAAATCAAATATAAAACACATTTGACCACAATAAAGTTATTATATACCTCCACAATTATACAAATTTGAGGCATTAATTACACTGAAACAGTTTTGTAATTTGAACCTGCTGTTCACGATTGTCATAGAGAACCTGTTGAAAAAAAACAATATTCATTTCCCAAGACGATGCAAGCTTGGAGCAAATTAAGCACTGGATTAAGGACAGCAAATGAGAAATTGTACTGAAAGTCACGATTTGTCTTAGTCATTGAACCTCCAAATCCACACATCACGAACCCAGTAAGCATGTAACCAAGAAATCCGCTGATAATTGGAAGGCAGTTATTGTCTCAAAGCTAACAACAAGATGATACTCCCAATCAGTTGTTATTAGAAAATCATAGCAGACTAGAAAAAAACTAGCAGCATTCCTTGAACTGCCCGTGGGGTTCCCAAATTAAATCAGGAGAAAGTCTGAAGTCAAGACTACAACGATCACCAGCCCTAACAGCGCTAATCTACGGCCAATGTGCTGTACATCAAAATGATACAGCCACTCAAACTTACCTTCAACAGATCATACAATGTCAGTAAAATGGACCGATTGTACTTGACTTGGGATAACAAAACCATTCCTGCTGAGCCAAGCGTTCAGACATGCAAAAACACATCTTGGGTAGATAGCACACCACTTGATGAACGACGTGAGCAATCCCTACAAAGTTCAAGGTATGTGAGTGTGGATACAAGCCACTTGGTAATTATATAAAAACACCCATCGGCTGGAAAGTTTAAGGCTAGTAGCCACAAATGTGAGCAAGTATAGCCTCCAAGAAAGCCAAAAAAACACAGTCTGATGAGCTGGGACAGTTTAAGCGGGGAAAAGGCCGACTGACCAAGAAACCGCCTCCTTTATACCGGTCGGGCAAGACTCGTCATGATCGGCACAAACAGAGACCTAGCGAGTCCATCACGTGACCAGCATGAAACGCATTAGCAATCCAAACCACGTGCACAAACGCATTACAATGCAATTTAAATGAGGCATGGGAATATCCACCGGCAACTGCGTACATCCGTTATGGTACTACACAATAACTGTATACAAAATGGTCAACGGACACTTGTAAATTTCTTAGAAAAGGGTTTCTAAATATATAAAAAAAATCTTCCTGCAGGCCTCAGATAAGACAGATATGGCAATTTTGACAGGACTTTGATTGACTCAGTGATGTTATCTTGACAGTACATTCAACATGTTTTCAAGTATTTCGCAATACCCAAGGGACGGACACAAGTGTTTTGCCTAAAGCGACTGCAGTGCTTTTTTGTGAACGTCTTTAAAAAAGACATATCACATAATCTAAGCGTACGGATCTTTGTGTTTGCAGCAGATACGATCGCGCGTAAAACCCATAGAGTTATCGATATACATCTGCCCCAATGGAGTTTTAAAAGCACTCTCATAAGCAGAGTGATGCCGGAAGAATACACACAATACAAGTGAAATTGCCTCATCATCTTTTATTAGAAACGTCTTTCTTAACGCTTCAAGATAAGTTTTATACAAAAAGTTCAGAGTTAGCAAGCTGTCTGCAAATGGTTGACAGAAACAACTAATTGATGTGGAAGAACACTTTCAATCATTTTGAAAAAAAGGGAGGCTATCATTTTTTTTTAAACGACAATATTCGAGATACCTAAATCAGCACTCCCAATAATGGGAAGTTATTCCTAAAACTTCCTGTGCTCTCCGCCATCAGCAATACTGACTGAAACTTCTTAAAACACGATTCGACTGCTCACAGATTGTGAGCATACACGCATCTGATCCGCAACACCTCCAAACAAGTGTTTTCATCATCCCTTTCTGGGATCAGATGCAATACGGAGAGTAATTAGATTATCTTTAAAGTCCAAACATACCTAGTGGACTTTTCTCGCTAATTTCCAACTGTATCTTGTGCCCTAAACTGATTACACGGTGCGAACAACACTGCATTCGAGCCTATAATCAGTGGAAATATTTCTCTCCGGAACACTCTGGGCAGATATTTCCCCTCTCGTAAATTGCATCCTAATGGCTGTGTCATGAAGACGCCTAAAGAAGACAAGTGGAAGCATGGCTGTGCATAGCTGCACCAGACTAATTTTACACAGCTCATCTTAAGAAACACTTTCCTAACCTAAGGCTACGAAATTCAGACCAGGTGGAGACTTCGAATTCGGTATTTCGTGACCGACATATTGTTACAGGACAGGCTGCGCATACGCACGAAGCCGAGGTAGAAGCGGTAATAAGAGAATAATTTGAGTCCAAACACGTAAGAAGCTTCACTGGCTTAATCTACTCTGAAACTTCTAGCGACATCGAAACTCGAAAATAATTACCGTAAATCCCACCGCTGCCACCAATAAGAAAGTTTGGACTGGTTCCAGTAGCACGCACTTCAGGATTAAAAATAGTCAGATGAATAAAAGAAAGCGATCATTACCCTTAAAAAGGTTCAGGAAATGATTTTATTTTAAAGGGTTCTTAGCGACAAAGAATGACGTACAAAGACGAACTGTGTTTACGTTTTGTTTTAATCTGTCCGCAATTAGTTCAACTGTTTTATGCTTTTATGCTTGATAATCCGATTTAGAGCGGCGAATGACGGTTGACTCTTAAAACTCACAGAGATTTATTCCACAGACTGACTGTCGGGATTCCGTGGATACCGCGAGAATGTCAATCTTCGGCATTTCATTTCGCAAGGGACCGAGTTCTCAAGCCTATATCATTATTTTGGACAAAACGAAGATTGCTGTACGTGCGTAGATGTATCAAGCAAGACGACCCAGAAGTTTCTCTGCTTTGACAGATCTATCAATACCTGTCCACTCGGTATGGCGCCAGGACATCCCCCCCCCCTAAAAAAAGGAATAGAGCAAAATAGGCTGCATTTAATAGACGTTAATGGCTAGGTCCGGAAATCGATCGGCGGTGTCGATAATAGACGTTTTTGGGTAACGGTCACACGGATGATTGAGAGTATATACATCTCTTTGCTTTCACCGCCGCCATTTGCGAAGTGCCCTTCGAGAAGGTTAATGGGAATAGTGCAGATGATTTTTAAGAAAACATTCCTCTTTTGTGACATGTTCGAACCTGGTTCAGCATCGAGACTGTGCACTTTGAGAGAAAAGTATTTTTTAAACCTAAAATCAAGTGCCGATATGACGCCCGCAAGGCTAAAACTGGCTTTTAACTCTCGAGTAGGCCTATTTTCAGTAGTAGGGACCTATTATATAGAATACAGAAAAGGGGGTAGTGCCCTTTTAATTTAGGTCATTGAAGTTAAGATGGCGACCTTTCCCATTACCAGGAAAAACTTATCGTACAAAGGAATGATACTTTGGCGACGTACGTGTTGGCCACATGCTACGTCTAAATCTGCGTACCATTGGCCAATGCTCGAAAAAAAAAACACATCACAGCATGCGCACAATCAGCGACACAAAATCACTGGTACAGCGGCAACATTACTGGGTACATGGTACCACGCCCTAGCTTTAATGGATGAATATCCTCCAAAAAAATTCTCGAGAGTTCTAAAGAACGAGAATGCTGCCTAGTTTGGATTGTTGTGTGTTACAGAGCACTGCATGGCCCTTTCACTCAGACTTGATGAAAGGGAGCTTTCGTCTAAGGTTATGTACCAATTAACTAACGGCGCTCGCAGCCAAAGCCGTAGACATTAACGTAACGGTTTTGGCGCAAGTAACAAGCGATCATGCCACCGATCGAGGATCATTCAGTGACGAGTGGTTATCAATGTATTCGAAGCACACGCGCGCGCGGCAAAATCATCCAATCAGCTCATCAGCGTGTCTGTGCAAAACAATTCCATCACGTTCTCACTCCGCCATACCAGCGCTGGTTAAACCACGAATTTCAGAGAAAGCTTTAAAATCGTTTCCTTATAACCGGTACCGTGCAATCAATGACTAATGGCGAGTATACACTATGACCAAGGAGATGAATTACCTTTTGGATAAATTTGCTCATTGAACCGAGAGTAATCGACTCACTTCATTTTACCTCCATTAGACATGTTGTGGGGCCTAACCGTAATTAACTCCGCTGTACACTACAAATAACGCCTAACAGTCTCGTTTTGAAATTACGGTAATCTATCACAAACAGATCTCAAACTGTATCCGAGATTTCGTACTTTGTACAGGAATATCATGAAGAAACATGGCTCAGAGGTACGCGGATGCTAATTACGGGCGTCCCAGTTACACATGGACAACAAGGCTTCTGGGCATATAGGTTGTAAGATAGGTTTCCTGAAATATGCACGTATTGATTGCGCATCAAATGATGTCAAAACAAGACCGAGAAAGACACATGTGTTACCAGAGGAAGGTTGAACATGTCCAAATGTACACGGGAAAAAATCGATTCATTTTTTTCCTTCAAAGAGATAACTCTCCCTTTATATATTAAAAGCAGTCGTAACTGGTATGTCTTTATTAAGCGATGTAGTACCTTAAAAATAACAGGGAAAAAAATATGCGCGTATATCTTTTCTGTTCTCTAATACAGTAATTCATGATGCAGTTAAGATTAAATTAAAGCGGCATTACGAGCCAAAGTGAAATATATTTAGCCTCAAATCACATTGGGTTTCAGGAGGGGGCACGGTAGCAATCAAAGCCCTCGGCACCTATGACTACGTATAAAACAATACGAAACTCACAACAGGAACACCGCGAAATAATGTGAATAAGATGACAGTTACTGTATTGGCATATAATTAACCACAGCTCGCAAATGACATTAGAATTCAATTATTGACATCTGGGGCAGGTCATTTCACAGACCTTCGTGAATCCTGGACTCGTGAAAGGCTTACCAAGGTGAAGGGTAACTTACAAGCAGAAGGATTAGGCCTTCAGCG